TCATTTATGTACCGTATTGCATGACCGCGCAATTGTTCATTAAACTAGCGCAGCGCTGTATAACAAAAAATGGCGTAAATTGCAGTATCTATACCATAGTTTGTAGACGCTATAACTTTCACACAAAGCAATCAATATGCACTTATTGGGATTTGTTTTACCAAAAACATGTAGCAGAATACATTTTGGCCTAAATGCCTCAACTAACTTTGAGTTTACTATATAGTGAGGAACAGAAGTATTTGAACACCCTGCGATTTTGCAAATTATCCCACTTAGAAATCATGGAGGGGTCTGAAATTCACATTGTAGGTGCATTCCCACTCTGAGAGATAGAATGAAAAAAAAAAATTCAGGAAATCACATTGTATGATTTTTAAAGAATTTATTTGTCTTGCACTGCTGAACATAAGTATTTTAACACCTAAGAAACAGCAAGAATTCTGGCTCTCAAAGACCTGTTACTGTGCCTTTAAAAAGTTCACCTCGACTCCACTCATTAATCTAACTTAGTAGCACCTGTCTGAGCTCTTTAAAGACACCTATCCACCCCACAATCAGTCAGACGCCAACTACTACCATTGGCAAGACCAAAGAGCTGTCAAAAGACACCAGAGACAAAATTGTGGACCTCCACAAGGCTGGAAAGGGCTATGGGGCAATTGCCAAGCTGCTTGGTGAAAATAGATCAACTGTTGGAGCAATTGTTAGAAAATGGAAGAGGCTAAAGACGACTGTCAGTCTCCCTCGGACTGGGGCTCCATGCAAGATCTCACCTCATGGGGTATCACTGATGATAAGAAAGGTGAGGAATCAGCCCAGAACTACAAGGGAGGAGCTGGTCAATGACATGAAGAGAGCTGGAACCACAGTTTCAAAGGTCACTGTCGGTAGAACACTACGCCGTCATGGTTTCAAATCATGCATTGTACGGAAGGTTCCCCTGCTCAAGTCATCACATGTCCAGGCCCGTCTGAAGTTTGCCAATGACCATCTGGATGATCCAGAGGAGGCATGGGAGAAAGTCATGTGGTCAGATGAGACCAAAGTAGAACTTTTTGGTCTAAACTTCACTCGTCGTTTGGAGGAAAAAGAAGGATGAGTTGCATCCCAAGAACACCATCCCTACTGTGAAGCATGGGGGTGGTAACATCATGCTTTGGGGGTGCTTTTCTGCAAAGGGGACAGGACGACTGCACTGTATTAAGGAGAGGATGAATGGGGCCATTTATTGTGAGATTTTGAGCAACAACCTCCTTCCCTCAGTCAGGGCATTGAAGATGGGTCGTGGCTGGGTCTTCCAACATGACAACGACCCGAAGCACACAGCCAGGATAACCAAGGAGTGGCTACGTAAGAAGCATATCACGGTTCTGGAGTGGCCTAATCTGTCTCCAGACCTAAATCAAATAGAACATCTTTGGAGGGAACTGAAACTCCGTGTTGCTCAGCGACAGCCCCGAAACCTGACAGATCTAGAGATCTGTGTGGAGGAGTGGGCCAAAATCCCTGTTGCAGTGTGTGCAAACCTGGTCAAGAACTACAGGAAACGTTTGACCTCTGTAATTGCAAACAAAGGCTTCTGTACCAAATATTAACACTGATTTTCTCAGGTGTTCAAATACTTATAAATGTGAAAAAAGAGGTGCAGCGCTATATAACTAGACACAATAATAAATAAACCACTAGTGATACACAATAGTGATAGACAGTGACTGAAATTAATAACGCCACTAGATGGTGGCCATAGAGTGAGGAGAGTGAAACAGTCCAATGAAGGAGTGCTCTTGAGATCCGGGACGATCTTCAAACGTCCTATATAAAGGACCAACAGGTGATAAAATATGAAGACTGCGCACTCACCAGATACGCAATCTTTATGCGCATTTGTGTAAAATATCACTGGACCTCCTGTATCCTCATCCTGGTCTGGTCAGATCTGGTCAGCATATCCCTCAAGGCCTGGTATCCACATAGATGTAGCTTATCCACAGTTAGGCAGCCCATAGATTATGTAATTTTCTTTCCTCTCCAGGGAGTTTGGAGAGGAAAGAAAATTACATAATCTATGGGCTGCCTAACTGTGGATAAGCTACATCTATGTGGATACCAGGCCTTGAGGGATATGCTGACCAGATCTGACCAGACCAGGATGAGGATACAGGAGGTCCAGTGATATTTTACACAAATGCGCATAAAGATTGCGTATCTGGTGAGTGCGCAGTCTTTCATATTTTATCACCTGTTGGTCCTTTATATAGGACGTTTGAAGATCGTCCCGGATCTCAAGAGCACTCCTTCATTGGACTGTTTCACTCTCCTCACTCTATGGCCACCATCTAGTGGCGTTATTAATTTCAGTCACTGTCTATCACTATTGTGTATCACTAGTGGTTTATTTATTATTGTGTCTAGTTATATAGCGCTGCACCTCTTTTTTCACATTTATGCTATTGAAGGTCTGATACGGTGCCTTTGTCTGGTGTACAGCTGCTGCTCATTATAGATTCATACAAGCGCTCACTTATCTTTTGCTTTTTTAGATTGTTCAAATACTTATGTTCAGCAGTGCAAGACAAATAAATTCTTTAAAAATAATACAATGTGATTTCCTGAATTATTTTTTTAAATCCTGTCTCTCAGAGTGGGAATGCACCTACAATGTGAATTTCAGACCCCTCCATGATTTCTAAGTTGGATAACTTGCAAAATCGCAGGGTGTTCAAATACTTCTGTTCCTCACTGTATTTTTTATAGCTGAAAGTAAAAAATATAGTTTTTCTTCAAAATTTTTGGTCTTTTTTTTTTGTTTATACCATGAAAAATAAAAAGAGCACAGGTGATCAAATACCACCAAAAGAAAGCTCTATTTGTGTAAAAAAAAGGACGTAAATTTCGTTTGGGTGCAGCATTGCATGACTGCGCAATTATCAGTTGAATTAGTGCAGCGCCGAGTAGCAAAAAGAGGCCTGGTAAGGAAGGGGGTAAATCCTCAGGAAGGCAAGTGGTTAATATACTGTATAATGTATTGGGATTTTTTGTACCAAAGACATATCGCAGAATACATTTTGGCCTAAATATATGACTAACTTTGAGTTTATTGGAGATTTTTTATAACCAAGTGAAAAATATAATTTTTTTCAAAATGTTCAGTCTTTTTTTTGTTTATAGTGCAAAAAGTGAAAACCGCAGAGGTGATCAAATACCACCGAAAGTTCTATTTATCTGAAAAAAAGTATAAATCTAATTTTGATACAGCATTGCACGACAGCGCAATTACCAGTTAAAGTAGTGCAGTGCCAAACAGAAAAAAAAATGGCCTTGTCATGAAGAGGGGTAAATCTTCCGGAGGGCAAGTAGTTAAAGCGGAGTTCCACTCACACTGTAAAACAATAAAAGTTAGCAGCTACAAAAAAACTGTAGCTGCTGACTTTTAAAAAACAGCCACTCACCTGTCCCACGATCCCATGGTTTCCTCCCCGCAGCCTGATTCAGTGGCCGTCCTGTATCCCAGGCACCGGCATCTTCAGTGTGGGCACCCGGCTGTGACAGTTTGCGGCTTCACAGCTGGGTACCCACTGCACATGTGCGAGAGTAGCACTGCGCTTCCTGAACGGTTCCGTAGTCTTCTGGGACCTGTCACGTGTCCCAAAAGACTACAGGGAAGGAGGGGGGAGGACAACTTCCGCTTCCGATCGCCTAGGCCAGGGGTAGGCAACCTGCGGCTCTCTAGCTGTTGTGGAACTACATTTCCCATGAGGCATTGCAACATTACAAAACTGACAGTTACAGCTATGACTTGCAGAGGCATGATGGAACTTGTAGTCCTGCAACAGCTGGAGAACCGCAGGTTGCCTACCCCTGGCCTAGGCGATCACAGAGGAAGTGGGAGCGGGTACCTGTCAATTTCTGGTACCCGCTCCCCAAAGGTGCTAATCCTTAATGGGGAGTGGGGGACCAATCTTTAAAATGGAACTTCTCCTTTTGGGTGGAACTCTGCTCTAAGTGAATAAAAAACAAGGATAGTAAAAAAAAAAAAAAACCAATTCTCCCTATCTGATTGCACTGTTCCATATATCTAGAACTATTCCAGTGGCTGTGTCTCCTGTCGTTCTAGTTCATGATCTTTTCCACATTCCATTTTGTAATCTTGTAAATGTGTAGAAAATGAAAGCTCCTAGAATGGAATCAGCGTGAACCAACTAACGCCCTTCATCGTCATCGCTCGGTCCGTATCACGTGAGCACATTCTAAGGCAAGCCAGAGTGCAGCAACTTCCTCCTTTCGCTACAAGCTTTATTGACAACACACACTTTGATTACCGGCATCTTCCTCCCAGCATGCATCGCGGCGGTGCAGTCTGACGTACTTCCTGCTCCATCATGGCTTCCTTGGGTTCCTTAGTTTCTTACAGTAGTGGCTCAGATTCTGAAAACGAAGCAGAGGATGAAAGGGTTGGCTCCCACCTGGAACCGTTACCGTCGGGGGCGGGGACGCTGAAGATGGTGAACTCGGCGCCTGAGGTGGCAGTGAAGGTGAGTGCAGTGGGAAGTGTATGAAGCACTCTCTTCCATACTGAACCTCCACAGTAGGTTCCCTGGCTTGATATGTGTACAGGGCTCTGCTCACAGCATTTGTAGGCAGAATGGTTGCTGAATCTACTGCCCAGCAATGAAGTCCCTGAGCCCTGTAGGGCGCTATAGTCCCACATGGCAGAGTGCTTTATTCAGAGCCATGTGTAATGGGGGGCCTTAGGAGATAACACTTTCCTCTGTCTGTCTAGTGCTGACACCAAATCCACTGACCACTGAAAACATGGGAACCAAAACCCAGCTCAGTAGTCTTGTCATTGTTTTATAGTGTGGGGGAGGGTTAGGACCTGGCATATTGTGAATGCTGTCAGTGTCCCCACTTAAAGGATAAGTTCACCTTTTGGACAAAAATTAAAAAATGCACTTTTTTTTGCAGGTGAAAAAAATGTGCATTTATTTATTTTTGTCCAAAGGAGCCTGTGAAGCAGGGCTTGAAATTTCCACTCGCCTGCTCGCCAATGGCGAGTGGAAATTATGGTGGGGGCGAGTGTGTCCCCCAGGGCCGTCTTGCTCAGGAGGCTCGGAGCTCAGGCCGGATCTGTCATTGGCACTAGGAGCTGTCAGACTGGTCAATAGCTGAGCACAGTGAAAGCAAAGCAAGGAGTGTGTGCTGTGCTCTCTGCCTCCCCCTAGAGTGCAGTACCCGGCTCTGTGCGTGAACAACGAAGTACTGCAACTTTTTATGCGGTTTGTTTGTTTGTGTCTGTGTATGCATGTACAATTGTACAATGTGTGTATCTGTACATGTGACTGCGTGTATGTACACGTGTGTGTACTTGTGTCTGTTTGTGTGTGTGCACACGTACATGTGTGTGTGTATGTATGTACGTGTGTGTATGTACATGTATCTGTGTATATGTGTGTCTGTATGTGCCTGTGTGTGTGTATACATGTGTCTGTATGTGTGTGTACGTGTGTCTCTGTGCGTGTGTGTACATGTTTCTGTGTGTGTATGTACATGTCTGTGTGTACAGGTGTTTGTTTGTGTTTGTTTGTTGGTGGCAAGTAAATCTATGGCCTGGCAAGTAGCTCAGGACTTGAAATTTTAAGCCCTGCTGTAAAGCATTGCACCAGTGATCAGTAGATCGCTGATGCCATGCAGGTCTCCTGCAGATCTGCTAGCCATGCAGGTTTGTACAGCCAAGCAGATATTCTGACAGGAAGCTTCAATGAACTACCTTGACGCTCCACAGCGCTGTGGTAGTTTGTTGAAAACTGCAAGCGGACAGCCGCTAAGGCTGCCAGGACTTGTAGTCACACATTCACAAAATTCTGTGAATGAGTGACGCGGCTCTGTGGGCGGAGCACCGCATGGCCATGCTGTTTTCAAATCTGGCAGTATGGGGAATAGTACGGGGATACTTTCTGTCAGAGGGAGGGGTCGGCAGGCGCGGCTGTGGCTATGGGAACATGTTCCACTACCCTAAAAATGGGTGGAACGTGTAACATGTTCCAAAGTTGTATTTATCCTTTAAGATTTTCCTCCTCACTTCCTGCTGTGTCTGACACCTATCTCTAGGAAAGAAAGTGAGAAGCTGTTTTCCCAATGGGGATACAGACAGAAGTAATAGCTCTTCCCCACTCCACTCTGTATGTGGCTCTGTTGGGGAGGTTATATATGTAAGATGGGGTGTTAAATTCATGACGGCATACATGGGGGATGTGGGTAGTATGTTGCCATGGATTAGTGCCAGGAAAGTTACGATAAGTATTTGATACAATTATCCATTTTTCTGGCACTAACATGACAGCATACAACTACATACTACAGGTATGCTGCCAGGGATTTAGCACCTGGAAAGAAAAATGATGGTAACAGGGATGTTGAATGCCTATCGCCCGACGCCCGAGACATGTAGTTCTGGGCGCCGGGCAGGTAGTTTTTTTCCTCCTTTAGCCCTGCTGCAGGCAAGCAGCGGGCTCACCTGTCAGGTTAAGCAATCAGCGGTAGCACTGCCGCTGATTGCTTTCACAAAGTGCCAGCCTCTCCGTGCCACCCCACCGTGAGGTTTCCTGAGCTTCTCTTGCCCATCTGCAGGCGCGGCTCACCGACGGCTAGAGGGGAGGGAAAAGAGCGGACAAGTCCGCTCCCCTCCCCTTCTTGTGCTGACCCGGAAGTGACGTTACAATGTCACTTCCGGGTTCCCAATGAGAGATTGTAATACAATCCCTGGGAAAGAATGTAATATGGTGCAGATGTGCACCACATTACATTTATTGGAGCAGAGGGGAGAGATGCAGGATCTTTTAGACCTTGGATGTATCAAAGTGAACCTGTCACCTATGTGATGGGAAAAAAAAAAAGTTTTTTTTTTTTTTATTGTAAAAATGAAAGTTACACCCAAGCACATACCGCCCCCCCACCCCCACATATATGCACGTACAAATGTAAAAGCACACGTCGCATATCACCGTGTACGCAAGGATGAGAGCGATAATTCTAGAACCAGACCTCCTCCGTACACTATACTGGTGACCTATAAGGAGCTTTAAAAGTGTCGACCTATAGAAAATATAGGGTACTGAAGTTCGTCGCCATTTCATGAGCGCACACAAATTTAAGGCTTGACAAGTTGGATATCTATTTACTCCGTGCAACCTTATCTTTTATATTTTACAAAAAATAGGGTAGTTTATTGCTTTTTTGTGCCCTAAAATTAACTTACCTGTATTTTTTACTAAACTTTTGCAGTAAAATCATGCAACATAAAAGATTGCAACTACCACTGTTTTATTTTCTAGGGTCTCTGCTTTCAGAAAGTATATAATGTTTGGGGGTTTTATGAAATCTTCAGACCTAAAAACTGCAAAAATGGCTCTGGCAGTGAAAGGGATAAAGTATAAGCCCTGACCCCCCCCCCTTTTTCTGATGAGCAGCCAATCAGTGCTCATTACACTGCAAGGTCTCCCCCCTCCCTGCTAGTCCCCGGGTGCAGTGCTGGAGACAGGCAGGGAGGGGAGGAGGAGATATACAGCTCAATGTTAAAAATATTACACATTTAAGTTGCAATAAAGCCCCTTTTGTTTTTTAAAGTCCCAGACATTCCTAAAATCACCTCCAATTTAAATACGGTTTTGGTTTACAAAAAAAAAGAAATTTTATCAGGACAAGTAGATTGGGGCCCCGATTTAGTCCCTGGACAAGTATTTTTTTAAAACATTTCCACAGCCCTGTGGTAAGTATTTGATACAATTTTCCATTTTGGAAAGGGGGGGGTCATTTCTTTGTAAAACTTCAACATAACTTGTGGCTCTGAATAAAGTACTTTGATGTGTGGGAAACATTACTCTGGGGCTTTTGTGTCTATAGGGATCCTCAGCGCTCCAGCTGTTCTGAAACTACAAATTCCATTGTGCCTCTGGGAGCCATGCCTGTGGCTGTCAGTCTAGCAGTGCATTGTGGGACTTGTAGTTCCACAACAGCTGGAATGCTGAGGTTGCCTAATCCTGATGTAGCACATTGCTGGGCAGTGGAAAATGCTGGTGCATAGACAATGTTGTGATACAGCTAAGACAATGACATTGGTGTATGTTTGGAAAGTGTATTGGGAGTTGAACACCATTCATTCACATGCCACTTTTGGGGGTTTGTACAGAAGCTGCTTTCTGCCACATTTATGAACGATACATCAGCTAACTGGCATACTGTAAACATTGGCAAACTGGTCTTAAAGTGGTTGTAAACCCTCTCACTTATACCCAGTGAAGAGACTGGCCTCAAGTGATACACAGAGATTAAATAAAACCTCCTACATAAGCACCGTACCTGTCTACTTGCAGCCATTTGTCCTGTACAGCTTTGTAAAACACAAAAGATGAAATGGATTTTTCAGATTCGCAAACCAGGAGGTGGGGAGCTGCAGTTACACAATGTACATGAGCTCTGAGAGTTGATTGGAGGGAAGGAACACTCCCCCCTTCACACAGCACACAGGAACAGAGCTGAGGCTGTCTATCTACTGGAGGTCCCTTCCCTGTCACCCTTTTAGCTCTAAGTGTCAGGAAAACTCTCAGAAGTGACCCATGTTCATAGCAGAGAAACTAGGCAGCTGAGAGAAATGACGATTAATGCTTTGGAGAGAGGCAAGTACGCTCTATAGAAATATAATGTATTGCCAAAAGTATTGGTCGGCCTGCCTTTGCACACACATGAACTTTAATGGCATCCCAATCTTGTGCAGGCCATAGACGGGTCGAAAACCGGCCGTTAAAAAAAAAAAAAAAATCGGTAGTTCAATAGGCCGACGTTACCACCAACGGTAAAAAAAAATCGGCCAATTTTCGTCCCGTCTACGGCCAGCATTTATATTATTTCTGTCCCTGCAGAGAGCTCTGCTATTATATGTGACATGAAAAAGTATTGCGGTTGCAACAATGTATCTATTTGTATCCATTTCGGATACAGATGTTTTTATTCGGATACAAATAGATACATTGTTGCAACCGCAATACTTTTTCATGTCACATATAATAGCGGACTGGAATTCTTCTTCTTCTTTTTCTTCTTTTTCTTCTTTTTCTTCTTCTTTTTTCTTTTTCTTCTTTTTCTTCTTTTTTCTTCTTTTTTCTTCTTCTTTTCTTCTTTTTTCTTCTTCCTCTTCTTCTTCTTTTTCTTCTTCTTCTTTTTCTTCTTCTTTTTTTTCTTTCTTCTTCTTCTTCTTTTTTTCTTCTTCTTCTTCTTTTTTTTCTTTTTCTCTTTTTCTTCTTTTTCTCTTTTTTCTTCTTTTTCTCTTTTTCTTCTTCTTCTTCTTTTTCTTCTTCTTGCAGGTCATGGCTCATGCGCAGATTTTTTTATCAGTAAAAGATCGTCCGATTTGCCCATCATTGCCGGGAAAATCGGCCGTTCGGCAAAATCAGACATTTTTTTTCCAACTTCACCGATAAAAAAAAAAATGTGCCAAAATCCCAAAAAAAACGTCCGACCAATTAACCCACTAACGGTGCGAAAATCAGCCGATTTTCGACCCATCTATGGCCTGCATTAGTCTGTAGGGTTCAGTATTAAGTTGGCCCACCCTTTGCAGCTATAACAGCTTCAACTCTTCGGGGAAGGCTGTCCACAAGGTTTAGGAGTGTGTCTATGGGAATGTTTGACCATTCTTCCAGAAGTGCATTTGTGAGGTCAGGCACTGATGTCGGACGAGAAGGCCTGGCTTGCAGTATTCGCTCTAATTTATTCCAAAGGTGTTCAGTCGGGTTGAAGTCAGGACTCTGTGCAGGCCAGTCAAGCTCTTCCAACTCAAACTCGCTCATCCAATGATGTGGAGGGGTGTCCCAATACTTTTGGCAATACAGTGCATGTGCTTTATGCAGATTTTATGCCTGAAGTTTACAACCACTTTAAAGTGTAACTAAAGGCACTTTTTTTTTTTTTTTTTTAAATTTGAGAGGTATTAGAACAGTAATATTTTTTATTGCTGTCTGTGCCCCCATTAGGGAGATTCACCCTCTCTATTTGTCCTATTTGCCATTATCAAAAATAAAAGAAAACCCCCAAATTGTGGGTTCTCCCCAGAAAAGTAAAATCTTCCAATGGCATCACTAGTTCTGGTTACCTTGGTGACACCCTGGGATTTCCTCTTTTTGTAGAGAGATGGAGTAGAAAAAAAAAACTGATAGGATTTATAACCTTCCCTCACTCTATCTAAAATTAACATTTTTGCCTTTAGCTCTATTTTAAAGTAAAATTAAAAGCAGACTATATATATATATATATATATATATATATATTTGATTTGGGTAGAGTGCTGTATTTATAGAACCGCTGTTGGTTGGCAGGTCAGCTCTGGCATGTGCCAATCAGAACTCAGAACTACTCTAATCTGTCCCAGCGTCCTTAGAAGAGGCAGAGCAGGACAGTTTTCAAACCCCAGGACCACTGCATGGGGCTACGTGTACAGTGAAACTGTATCACCCACGGAAACAAGTGCTGCAGGGTTCGGGGGGGAAGGTGGGGAGGACGTAGGGTGTTTG